ATCAAGCTCTGAAATAGATTTCAATGGATGATTCAACAGTCCGTCTGCCACAAGTGCTACAACCATCGATGAAATTTTGGGGGCTATTTTGCAAATTTTTCTTATCATATTATTTTTCCTATTTTAATTTGAAGTTAACTTTATCCAAAGCACGAATCTGCTCCAACAATGACTCTCGCTATTGTTTTTATTGTTGACTCCATTTATCTTCAAGCTGATCAAGATGATTTTGAACTTGTTACAAAACGGAATCGTTAGTTAAGTTGTGTATGCTTTTCTTCTTGCAGGGCTTCAAGCCGTCTTCGTTACATTCTTTTGGTTTCTAATTGGTCTCAATTTAGTGTTGTGATTTTTCTTCTTGTTATTTCCTCTTTGAGGAGACTTTGCCCATTCACATCCTTTAGATGGCTGATTTTTAATTTAATTGAGTATACATGTAAATTTTGCTATTTTATTTAGAATATTGTTGAAAGAAATTAATAATTACCTCTATTCGTTAGTAAGCTTGAGCACTTTAGCCGAAACCTAACCTCCCAAACCAAAATCAAACCGGAGCCTGAGGTTTGATCCGATTCTCAAGGTTCGGATCGTTTTCTATTCATGGACAGTTGGACCAGAATCGTAGGTACCGAATAGAGTTGATTTTTTATATATAATTTTTTTTATTGGTAGGGTAAAGAAATACAGAACCTAAAAGCTTTGATTTTGGTATTAATTTATCTAAAACTCTAGATTCTAACCCTAAGAAATCATGATTGACTTCTACTTTTTGTATCTAGCCTTAAATCATATTGTTGAACTTCAGAAGTTAGTATATATTAATCTTTAGTATTTAAGCTTTCTATGAATCAAAAAGTTCAAGCAAGTATTGTTGGGTAAGTTGATGTATGACGTTCATTTTTTGCAATTCGAGCTTTTTATTTTCTTGCATTGTTTAAGAACTTAATGATTTTTTTTTTTAATAATGCATGTCATATAAACTTGATATATACATAACTTGGGCTATGGCGTACCTTTTCGTTATATTGAGTTTGTGATTCTCTTTTGAGATATAATTTTTCATTTCTTATTCAAGCAGATCGAGTTCAATATGTGGTTTCAATTTCTTGATATTATATAAAGAAATATATATTTTTTTTTTTTTACTTTTTTTTTTTTTTTTTTTTTTTACTTACAAAATCAAGTAAGTAAACCGATTACAATTCACGGCCCAAATTCTAGTAGAGGCCCAATACATATACTGCATAATAACACATGGCCCAACTTTAACACTCTACCCAACTAAAACATGGCCCAATGTTAATACCATACCCACTAACCCGGTCCACTGTTAAATGATAAACAGAGGCCGGCGCACGCACGAAGGGAAGAAAAAAAAAACTGGGCGCGGTTTGGAAGATTGCGCTACCAACGCAGCTCGCTGGATGTTAATTGCCTAGGTCATCGATCTAGGCATAGTCGGCGGGTCGTGCGTACTGTATTGGGTTGGTCGGAGGTGGACGGTGGTGGGTTATTGGAGGGCAGTGAGTCTTTTGGGTGGCGTTTGCGTGGACAGTCTTCGGCCGTGCGGAGGGTTATTATGGTTTAATGAGTATTGGGCAGCCGGAATTTTCTGAGGTAGTGATTGCTTGCAGCGGCCGGGGTCGGGTTGGGTTTGGGTGGTTGAGTTTGTGAAGTTTGCAGTGGACGTTGAGTTTGTGAAGTTGCAGTGGACGTTGAGTTTGTGAAGTTGCAGTGGGCCAGGAATAGATACAGAGACGGTGAGGATGTTAACTGGAGTCTGCCAAAATTGATTTTGAGCACCGGAACACATGCAAAGATGATGAAGGTGTTAACTGGATTCTGCAGAACTGATTTGAACCACGCAGTGAACACCTAACTGTTTTCCCAAGTTTGCTCTGATACCAATTTGATATAGGGAGGTTAATAATTCAGTAAATAACAGGAAGAGGTGGGGGAGGGAAGAGAAGAAGAAGACAGAGGCGGGGAAGAGAGGGGGAACGGCTGCAAAACCAACTCTTTATTTCATCAAATTCATCATTCCAAATTACAAACCAAGATAGGTTTAAATAATAAAAACCTAGAAATATAGGGCCAAGCCCTTTACTTAAGTCCTAACTAAAATACGTAAACTTAAATAAAAGTCTAACTGAAACAATAATAAAAGTCCAACTAAAATACTGAAACAATAATAAAAGTCCAACTATAATGATGTCCTCATCATCCATCCTATAACTAACAGCAGTTTAGTATTAGGATATTAGCAAGCTGATCAGTTTCATGAATAATGCAGTCATCAGGATTCATAAGAAAATTGAGGTTAAGTAACTGCAAGTTTAACCACTTTTTACAGCATATAGAAACAAACCAATTCAATTTGAGAATAGAACAATAGTGTGTACAAGCTAAAAAAAGGCTCTGTATGGACTCAAGCAATCTCCTAAAGCGTGGCTTGGCAGGTTCACTAGAGCCATGGTCAAAATGAAGTATCGACAAAGTTAGGCAGGTCATACTCTCTTTGTTAAGCACTCAAACTTTGGAAAGGTTACTAATCTAATTGTCAATGTGAATGACATAATTGTTATGGAGATGATTTGGAGGAAATAGTATTGCTAAAATAGCCAAGCTACAGAGTTTGAAATAAAAGACCTTGGGGGACTAAAGTATTTCTTGGGTATTGAAGTGGCTTATTCGAATAGTGGTATTTTTTCATCACAACATAAATATGTTCTTGATCTGCTAAATGAAACCGGGATGCTAAGATGTAAGCCGATTGACACTTCTATAGAACAGAATCACAAACTAGGTTATGTTAATGAGGAGGCAATTGCAGACAGGTATGTACCAAAGCTAGTTAGAAAGTTGATTTACTTATCACATAGTAGACCAGATATAGCATATGCATTCACTAAGAGAAGGTCATCTTAATACAGTATATAGAATTCTTCCGTACTTGAAATTCACCTGGAACGTGCATTTTGTTTAAAAGAAGTTCGGAGTTGAGAACATTATAATCACTGTTTAGGTTATGGTTGGACAACTGGAGTTTTTCACAGAAACATGTGCATCCATATATTTTTTTAACTAATGAACTTTTTTGTGATTGTTGGATTCTCATAGTGATGCCTATATACCGCCAATCAAACCAAATTGGCAATTATTGAGATTCAGTTATCGTAGTTAAGCTACATACAACATAGTGATGTTTAAAATTTGTTTCATCGTTCTCGTAGGGAATTTGCTTACCTTGATCGAAACGTTAATTTATTTTGTTTATACCTTACCTTCATATCATGTATCCTTGTTCTTGGTTGGGGCTTTTTTTCCCTCTTCATTTTCTCTGTTGTTTTTGCAGTAGTCTTTTTGGGATAACTTGCCGTGTTCGGAATTTTTAGGGGAAGAAACTAATATTGCTTCTGTGGCATTCTATGTTTTTCTCAGCTTTTCCTTGCATTTTTGTATGTAAATGGGAATTTTGTGAAGGAAAGCTACTGATAGAAACCAATGTGTGAACTACAATATTTTCATTCTTATCAGAGATTTGGGATGCACTTCGGGCTGCTGCTGAGGCTGATACAACTCTCGCACAAGCAATTGTGGAAAGTGCTGGTGTAATTGTTCAGAACCCCGACTTAACTGTCTGCTACGATGAGAGAGGTCTGCATTCCAATTTGTGCCCGTCTAATAAACGTCCTTCAAGTTTTTCATTATGTTGACCTACGCAATAATTCATTGCAGGTGCGAAGTACGAGTTACCCAAGTACGTATTGAGTGAACCAGCTAATCTGATCCGCGACAGTTGAAAAAGATATCTTTACAGAGATTGTAAATCCGTAAATTACTGGTGTCATTTTGTTACCAAGTTCATCCCATTTTACCACAGTTTCGTCGTTCTCTATCCATAGTAAGCTCTTTCCCATGACAGGAAATTGTAGCATTCCTTTTCTTGTCAATGAATACACATTCCGCTTCTTTTCGAGTACAAAAGAGCAGGTCATATAGTACCTTTTTTGATCCATATGGACATCTTCGAATAAGGTTTTTGCCAAGTATAGGCTTTATCAATAGTTGGGGCTAAGTACACTTTGTATTACGAGAATCATTTGATTCTTCCTCTATAAAGACTACATCCTACTATTCTTCTTTCATCATACATGTTACAGATGCCTGTACATCGTTGAGAAGGGAAGTCTGCTTTTAAATCGTCCGACATGCACTCACCATTTACATTTTGTTTTGCACACTCTATAGGTTTGACATGGCTCGAATTACGCATATATGAACAACGGGTATAGAGAATAATGTGGTTTAGTACTGGTCTAGTTAAGCATTAATTTAAAATAATTTATCATTTAAAGATATCTCGACCGGTGCTTAATTAGTAGCATTGCACGATCCCTAATTTTCCATGGCTTTAGCTAGGAAAGATGTAAGGGACGGCGGCCGCAAAAGAAGCGTGCGAGTAGTTTACTTTAAACAGACTTTTAAGAACTAAGATTTACTATTCCCAATGAGTAATATTTTATTACAGAAGAAGTAAATCCTGGTACATGTATCCAAGATATTGCCTCTTTGGAACTAGACATGCACATGCACGAACTTTTCAATGTATGAGTATGATGCTCTCCACTACATTTATAGGCCTATGGTGTTTGGAATCTTTAACAGAGGTCAAGAACTGCTTCTATCATTGTATTTTAGTTTCGAATCTCAGCACTTTGCAATAATTAATCAACTTCGTTTTCTTTAATTTTAGTGATAATTGTGGTTAATGTCTAGGAGTTATGGATATTGTAGTATTTGGGTCTCTAACTTTTGATTGTTGGCATTTGGGTCCTCCAAGCTTAAGTTTCTTGCACTTGGGTCACGCTCGCCTGTTCTAATTTCAATTAATAAATAAAATAGGAAAATTTTGAAAAAAAAAGGTCATCCTCACCCCCATCAATCTGAATACCTAGTGAGCAGAAAAGATGGCGAACCAATAGGTCGAAAGAATGGGAGGTGACCTGCGATGAACATGGCTTTTCTTGTTTATTAATTTATTTTTCATTATAATTAAATACTAAGAATTTAATCTGTTAGAGCAATATGTCTTGTTAAATGTTAACTTTCATCAACAGTTAAGGCTCCGTTTGTTTCCCATTAATAAAAGAATGAAAATGAAAAATATAGTTGTTATGAGTTCTATACAAGAGATAGAAATTCAAATATATGATGACTTGATGTGATGGATAATAATCATATTTTTTATTTTAATGGTCAAATAATCGAAAACAAACAGGGCTAAGTAAAGCACTAAGAATTTAGCATATAGAGGCGTTTTGTACAAATATAATAAATGGAGGAGTTTTGCTAAAATTTTTCCTCTTAAGCGTCGCATCCATTGAAATGATAACCTTGGAGTTTTTCACCTGTCCTGTCCTGTCCTTTCCTTTCCTTTCCTTTCCTTTCCTTTAGTGAAATCGTAGGGGTTGAATGGCTACACCTCGTGCATTGCTCATGTAAGTTGTTATGCGCTTCTTTTCAGAGAATAGTTAATTATTTATTTTTCAGTTTAAGTCGTGATTGATTACTTGTTGTAGGGTTTTGAAACTGTGGGAGTAATTTATATTAATTATTCAACCTTTTCTCTTTTACTTATGTTATGTTAACTATCTATTTTTCTATAAAGGAAAAGTATTGAAAACGCCAAGGCACTAAACGACAAAAAAACGTGGTCTTGTCCATTGTCAATTTTTTAAATTGTCAAATGAAACAAATTCATCATCCAACATGTTATAAAGGACTTGTTTCAACTCCAGTAAAAATAAAATTTTGAGAAAAATGTATTTTAGAATCGTAATTTTTTAGAAAAAATAAGGTTAGAAATTAAAGATTTTTTAAATAAATTTACGTGTAATATTATTTTATTGAAAAATATATGATTAAAAAGAAAAACGAAGTAAAATACAATTTTTTTTAAATAAGGTCCACATCCGGGCTAATTAAAGGAATGAACTATAGCATGAGTGGATTTATATTTGGCATGGTACACTAAAATTCTTTCTTCGAAGCCATATTTACTATGCAAAATGCGTGTTTTTGACTCGACGAAGGTGAATGTCAGATAGAAAGTTCAATACAATAGATAGCATGCTCGATCGTTTTGACACCAATTTATTTTACTTTTATTGTTAAGGCCAGTTGATAATTTTTCATACTCTCTAATAAAGACAGAAGTGTTTAGATTCGCTGACGTGTCTTTTGAGATTGGTGAACAATAAATTTAAATCGTCATATTTAGTTTCGATGAATGATAAGTATAAACCAATTGCTACTTAATCGATCAAATTATTTTAACAAATGAAATATTTATGTCTTGAACCCATATGGACAATGCTTAGATGTGTACACAAACACGCCCTACATATTAAAGAACATTTTTGGACATTGCTTATCCTCGTAAGAAAGTGCATTAACACTCAAACTAATTAATTATGATAATCAGAAGTATGTATCGGCCATGATTGGTCAGTCAAATGATCACACACGTGAGCCGTGACCTTGGGCCCTGGTTGATTATCTTGAGTATCCTTGGATTCTCTGGCACTCTCGTCTGGAATTATTATTTTTATTTTATCTTTGATCGTAATGATTTCTTTACTGAAATCTCGAAAAGAACTTTACTATTTGTACACTAATTTTTAATACTTGCATTGTTGTCACGTGTCAAGTTGATGAAAAAACTGTTTGACATTTGAACTATTCAACAGGATAAATTCACGTGACAAAATATCCAAAATATACATCATAATGTAAGTGTAGTAAGGTTCATATTCTCAAAAATTCTCCAAATCGAACCTTATTTTTCTTTTCAATAGGTTTTGTTGACAATAAATTGTAATTACTTTCTTGCACTTCAAGTCATTTTGAGCATTCAAGTCCTTAATTAATTAGGTTTTACAATTTATTTATTTCATTGTGACTTTGTTTGGGTGGTTATATTACCATCATAATAAGTGTTTGGTACACCAATATTTTTTTATGTACTTAAATAACCGAAATAAATATCCTATCTACTAAAAATTGATATATTTATTTATTTCATCACAACATTTTACACTGTACGCCACAACTTCTAGTTGAAGGTACAATCAGGAAGATTTATACAGCAAAATATTCAAAGTTGAAATAGTTTGTAATTGGATATGCCAGCAAAGGATATACAGCACTTCAGGAAGTCCAAACATCAATCCTCTTAACAGTAAAGCCATGATGACACCAGACACTAATGCATGTCACTGGAGGCATTTTGGGTGACGGAGACAGAAAAATAATAATGGAAAGAATAATTCTTGGTGTAATGGTGTCCATAATGTAGCTATAGCACAACTCTAATGGAAAATGGGGAGAAACAACAAGTGGATTTATAGCATGAATTATTCTGTAAGTACAATTTTTTTTTTAACAAAATTGGTTCAGGAAGAGAGCTGTCTTTTTGTTATCTGCTGTTGCCAAAAACTGTTTTTAACAATAGCCAATTACAAGAAGATAATTGTACTTTCTGTATCAATTCGGTAGAAAAAATCTGTACTTATAACATTTCTCTATTGCATAGTATAATTGGCTATGCCAGCAAAGGATATAATTACTCAGTTATGAGGCCTAGTGAGTGGGGGAAGTTGAGGAGGAAAAATGGGTGGGGAAGATGAGGGAAATGAGTAATTGTGGATTGGGTGAGAGTACACGATTTTATACTCTCTTTTTTTTTCATTTTCCCTTTTATTGTTGTGTTAAAGATTATAATTGTACAATTGTTATGGCGTATTTATAGAAAACATATTTTAAGAGGGTGTTTGGGAGATATTTTTATGGAAATATATATTTTTAAATAGTAAATTGATGAAAAATAAGGAAATTTTTTTTATTTACGTGTAATATTATTTTAATAAAGAATGTGTGGTTGAGAATAAGAGAGAGAAAAATATATTTTAAAAAAATAACTACCAAACAAGCCTTAATTGTGGTGTTAATAAAATGTGACGTAGCAAATAAAATTTGTGGTGGTATTATAATTACTCTCTTTGTTTACATGTTTGCATGCCAGCTCTACTAGATTGATATGTCCGAAAATACCCCTTTAATAATTTTACTGTCAACTATGTACACTTGGGGTAGAATCCTGCTACAGTGTTGCACAGAATTTCCCAACTGCCCATCAACCTTTCGTACTTATTCAATGGTATCACTGTCTTGAATTCAACCGAACTGTCGGGGGATAAAAATTCAAAAATTTTCAAATTGGATGATTTAGCCGTTGTTCGAGTCCCATTTTTCTGAAGAATGAATTTTCGAATAGTGTATTAATGAAAAATGTGTGATTAAAAAATGAGAAAAAATTTTGAATTTACATGTAATATTATTTTATTGAAAAATGTGTGATTGAAATGATATCAAAATATTGTTGAAAAATATATTTTTCCAAAAAAATGAGGCTCAAACAAATGATTTGGGTGTACTTGAGCCCCATTTTAAAGGAAAATTAAACGTCATAATAGTGATTTTTTGAAAAATGTATCGAGGTTAGAAGTATGATTTTTCTTTTTATACTTTTTGGTGTAAAATTATTTTATTGAGATAATACGTGATTGAAAATGAGTTTGAAAAATGAATTTTAATAGAATGGGACTCAAATATATATGTGTGTGTGTGTGTGTGTGTGTGTGTGTGGGGATATATATATGTTTTGAAGGACATTAGATTTCTTGATTGAGTCAAATATTAATCGAAGAGCAAAAGAGATTGCCTTAAAACGACATTCTATTAGTTGAAAAACACTAATTGCCCAAGGCCAAATCCAGGCTAAAATCAGCGGGCCAAGTGGCATCCCTTATTGGTAGGGCGGGGGTGCACAAACAACAGCCCTCTCTAGTAGTTTCTTATCTCAAATTGTCCGATCATTTGGTATTCTCCTTCAATCTACCCTATCGAATGAATGAGATTTGAGCCAAATTTTGTTAAAGAAACAATCTCATTTTTCACATTGAGTTGGTCAAAATTTGTGAAAGTTCCTGCTTTTTGTGGATTAGATCAAGCAATTGAGGATTTATAGCTAAACAGTATTGCACGACTATCATTTAACATAGACATATTTTTTAGTTCAAAAGCATACATTGAATATATCAAGTTGTCGTTGAAAAATCTAAAAAAAAATTTAATTTTTTTGTTTTTTTGTTTTTTTTGGAAAGAATGATTTCTAGACTAGTAAGTTTTTAGAATCGATGTGGTTAAGAAGTAGGAAAATTTTGAATTTACGTAAAGAATATTTTACTGTAAGAATATTTAGTTAAAAATGAATATGAAAAAAAAAAAAGAGCTTAAAGAATGCTTACCAAATAGGGGCTAAAATTTATAAACCAATAGAAATGATTGACAAATAAATAAATAATATTTATAAGGTCTCATTTGTTTAATATTTTTGTAAGAATGAGAATGAAAAATATAGTCATGATGGACCTCATATAAAAGATAAAAATTCAAATTTGATGGCTTGATATAATGGATAATAGTCATATTTTCAATTTTAATGAAAAACAAACAAGGGCTAAATGTCATGATATATGTGAATAAAAATAAATGTGTTAAATTACATAATCTATAAATAAAATTTCTTCTAACAGTAAGAAAAAGAGAATCTGTAATTAAAAAATAAAAAAAGATATTTTTAATTTAGGAGTAAACTTATTTCTTTAGAATATATAATTAAAAATAAAATTTTAAAATGTGAATTTTTGAAAAAGGGGCTCTAACAAAGGGTGGACTCCACGCTTTTTCTTGCTGTGTAACATTTTCGGTGCTACTTCTAAGCAGCATCACCCTATACCCATGCAACCCACCCCGCCTCTCGGTTTCTCTCTCTACATATATATACATTATACTTACACGTGACGTTTTTACTGTCTCTCTCTCTTTAACCCTTCTCTTACAGCACTCCGAATCTCACCCTGCAAGCAAGACGACCACTAATAGCAATCCAAATCTTCACAGCATTCGACTAATTGTTTCGATTTCTCTACTCTTTCCCTATAAAAGCCACACACAAAAAAACACACACAGTATTTTGTATATGATATACATGGCATATGCGGTGTCGTCTATCGTTTTCTTGAAAGAACCCCTGGTGAAATTCATGTGAAAGTATGGAGAAAGGGATCTGAGACAGTGAAAGTTAGAGAGAGAGAGAGATGCTTAATGATGGCAACGGATCACTTGCCTAGGAATCCTTTACAAAGTAGTTGCTTCTAACTCTACGTTTCAGGTGAATGTAGTGTTCTTTTGAGTCCTTTTTTGCTTCTTCACCTTTCGAAGTTATGCTCTTTAAATCTTTGCCTTTTGAGTTGTACTTCCCTAGTTCCTTCTTGTTGTGAAATCTTTGTAGCCCTTTAGTTTTAGTCCACAAAGCTAAAGAGTGAGAGCGAATGCAGTCTTTTGATTGGCTGAATTCAAAAGAACTAGATTCACTGTTTAAATTTCTCACTCGCTCTCAGTTTTTGAACTAATAGAAGTTACTTAGTTTTGGACTGTAAAGATTGGATTTTTATGGTGTAATCTAAATGGGATTCGGTTATTTCTCTGTATTCTGTTTATGTTCAACTGTGGGTGGCATATAATCTGTTTGGAAGGTTTTGTTCTTGGTGGGTTTTGGGAGGGTCCTCATTGGACTTGACGCTGTTTTTCATGGTAAGTGTGGTGTGTTTCGTTGCTGAGTGCTTCATACTGGAATATTCAGTGGCTTGGATTCAGGCATTGTTATTGGGTTGCATAGATTTCGTGATGCAATAACTAGAAAAACTTGGACGATTTGTGAACTAAGGGTATGCATTATTTCCTTATACCTTGGCTAAATTCAAGAATATTTCGGTCATTGCATCGATTCATGTGCTGATCATGACCAGGGCTGTTCGTGATCGGATACTTAAGGATGTGAATGGCAACATTAGTGATCATCTAAGAAATCACATTCATTTGACGAATTGCATTCATTTGAAGAACCATATGCATAAGCATAGCCCGATTTTGGCTGATAGGGCCCTTATGAGGGACCTTGTCGTCCTTCAGAGGTCAAGGTCTTTGAGGGATCCATCCACAAGTCCGCCTTCATGGCGTTCTCCTACTGTTGACGTGCTTCTCAGAACAGGTGAAAGGGAGGCTATGGTCAATGGAAGAAGGTCCATGGGCATAGATCGTCCAAGAGAGGGTAGAGGGATTGAGATTAGGTCACCTCCAATAGGAGGCCAATCTATTCATGTGGTAAGCAGGCATAATGATCAGGCAGTTCCAGCTGTGAGCAACCACACTAGTAAGAGTGTTATTCGGGAACGTAGAAGAGGAGAAGGAGAAGAGTCAAGTGGAAGATTTCTGGGAAATGATGTCATTGACTGGAGTCATGAGCATCTACGAGACAGTAATGACATTGCACATGACCGTGTTTCTGGACACATTGATTCAAGAGACAAAAAGATTAAACATAGTGGAAGAAATAGACAAGATGTACACCTCAAGACCCTCTCTGACCAATTAAATGAGTTCCATGCAGAAAATGATGATGGGGCCTCCTCTCATAACCATGGCAATGGAAAAAATGCTCAAATTGAAAAGAATGATGAAGCGGCTGGAACCACTGCAGGTGGCTACAAAAGCGGTCTGAATAGGGCGAAAAGGCGTAAGTTTAGAGGTGCTAGAAGAACTCGGGCCACTGTGGCTAGCCAAGATGCTGGTGCTAAAAATGAAATGTCTGTGGCCTCTAATTCATTTGCTCAAGGTGGAGCACATCAGAAATATCAGATGGAGAAGATGAATAAAGAGCATACCGATCAGACTGTCACTGGCATTCCAAGAAATGGTTGTGGTATTCCTTGGAACTGGTCAAGGATCCATCACAGGGGGAAATCATTTCTTGACTTGGCCGGACGTAGCCTTTCTTGTGGCTTGTCTGACTCAAGGGTAAAGATTGGTAGTTCTAATCCTCAAGGGAGGGATATCCATGATAGGCCAGTCATGTCAGAGCATTCAAGTTCATCTACTAAGTCTGATGCGGAAGCATTGCCTCTACTGCTTGATGCTTCTGAATCTCAGGGAAGTATGGGGAATGCTGCTTGGCTGCATGATTATTCTGGGGAGCTGGGGATTTATGCCGACAACCTACTAAAACAGGAAGTTGACATGGACCTTGTCTCAGAAGGAAGATCCGGCGAGCAACACAAATTTCGAAGGCATCGCAATGGGAGGCATCAAAATCTCACTCAAAAGTACATGCCAAGAACTTTTAGAGATCTGGTTGGTCAGAACTTGGTAGCACAGGCTCTTTCCAATGCAGTATTTAAAAGGAAGGTCGGTTTGCTCTATGTGTTTTATGGGCCTCATGGAACTGGTAAGACCTCCAGTGCACGCATATTTGCCAAAGCGTTAAATTGCCAGTCTTTGGAGAGTCCCAAACCATGTGGCTTTTGCAATCCTTGTGTTGCATATGATGTTGGGAAGAGCCGAAATATAAGGGAAATGGGCTCAGTAAGCAATTTTGACTTTGAAACCATTACTGACCTTCTTGACAACATGATCCTTTCCCAGCTTCCATCTCAGTACAGAGTCTTGATCTTTGATGAATGTGATACATTGTCTCATGATTGTTGGAATGCTATATTGAAGGTCATTGACAGAGCTCCCAGGCGTGTCATTTTTATCCTCATCAGCTCCAGTCTCGATGTCTTACCTCACATAATAATATCCAGGTGCCAGAAATTTTTCTTCCCAAAATTAAAGGATGCGGATATAATCTATACTTTACAATGGATTTCAACGAAGGAAGATTTAGAAATTGATAAGGATGCGCTAAAGCTTATTGCATCAAGATCAGATGGATCGTTGAGGGATGCTGAGATGACTCTAGAACAACTGAGTTTGCTTGGGCAGAGAATCTCTGTTCCCCTGGTACAGGAACTGGTGAGTTCTGTGTGATTTCATCTTAATGATTTCTTAAATGTAACTCTGAATGTCACTTCATTGTAGCACATTATGACTTGCTAAACTGCTATCGATTGCGGTTGCTAATTACGTCAATGTGAGGACTTGTTCATATAATATAGGATAAAATAGACGTGTTAAAATTTTTGGGTTGAAATTAGGTTACCTTTATGCCATGTTTTTCTTATGGCAAAGATGCTTGTTTTTCGTTATCCTCATTGCACTAGGCTTAGGCGTGCTATATATCCTAATTGCCCAATTATTGGCCAAGTTTGTGACCCCTGTAAATAGTCGTGCTTTTTATTTGTTTTTAATAGAGAAAGAAAAAGGTGTGAGAGAGAAAAAAAAGATACAAAGGGTAAGAAGAAAGAGTAAGACATAAAGCAAAATATACAAAGTTAGAATAGAGATTTCAAGATTTGTTACACAGAAAACTTGGGAATGAATGGGGCTTGTGATTTTGTGAGATTGAGAGAAATACTCGTTGTAATCTCTAAGAGTCGCTATTGAACTACTATGATCTCTCCACGGGCAATTGCTGAACCACGTAAATTCTCTTTTCTGTTTTTTGTTGCAATTTTAATTCTTCTACCGTTCCATCTTAATAATTGCTTCCATTTTCACCGTTGTCACCATATTTGCACAACATTATGCCCTCAACATGCATAAAGTTTCAAAATCCTCTTCCTACATCATATTTCTGTGACCCTGACATCCAATATATATGCAAACTTTTTGTGTTTCACAGGTTGGGCTTATTTCCGACGAGAAGTTAGTAGATCTACTTGATTTAGCATTATCCGCAGACACGGTCAACACCGTGAAGAATCTGAGAGAGATCATGGAATCTGGTATTGAACCATTGGCATTAATGTCGCAACTTGCTACAGTTATAACTGATATTTTGGCCGGAAGCTACGATTTTATGAAAGAAAGGCCTAGAAGGAAGTTTTTTCGGCGGCAAGCATGTAAGTCTAATTTTCTAGGACCATTTGGTCTTTTCATATAATTTAAGTCTGTGTCAAATATGTCACGGATTTTGGATTTGAGGATATGACTATAGTTCCATAGCTGAAATGAAGGGGATAATGTTACTTCATAAAATAAACCAGACTAGATAGTGTACGACTTTTTTATTGCACGACAATTAAGGTTTCCATGATTTCATTTCTTTCCAATTGCCCACCAAAAAAACGTATGACCTCCAATCTTTTCTAATCTAAATTTTTAAGTTTCAATATTAAAGGAAGTGGCCTCCCTTTACTTTCTCATCTTTTTCCAATTTCTCTCTTTTCCTCAACTGAGGACTAAAATTTGTTAATTTCAGTATCAAAAGAAGATATGGAAAAACTCCGTCAAGCTCTGAAGACATTATCTGAAGCTGAAAAGCAGCTGAGAATGTCGAATGATAAAATAACTTGGCTGACGGCTGCTCTGCTACAACTAGCTCCTGATCAGCAGTATATGTTACGAAGTTCCTCCACCGATACTAGTCTTAATCATAGTCCTCCAGGATTAAGTAATGTTGATTTAAGAGATGGACCAAGGAAAAGCAATGTCAGATATACTGAAGTGCCTAATTTTCAAGCTGGAAGTATTGGGGATATTCATCGTAGTGGTAAGATGAAGGGTATCAGCAGAGACAGAGTATCTCAACAGGGGTACAGTGCTTCAGAAGATAAAAATAAAGCTACGGGTGTGCAATTACAGGGAAGATTTGGTCATGAAATTGAAGAAATTTGGTTGGATGTGTTACATAAGATACCAATAAATAGCATAAAAGAGTTTCTATATCAAGAAGGAAAGCTGATCTCAGTCAGTTTTGGTGCAGGTAGGATTAACTTGCATTACGCCTTTACACTAGTCACATAAATATATATCCTATTCTCTCTTTCTTTTTCAGGTAGTTTTTGCTTGGATATAATTTTGACCTCAATTTTAGTGCTTGTTTGGTACAAATTTTAAGTCAATTAAAATTAATTTTTGACCGTTATTTCACTATTTCAGTCATCATTTTTGAATTCTTCTCTTACAGATATAACTCACTTTATCTCTACCGGTCAAAAAATCAATTATTAAAATCCCTACCAAACAAGCACTTAATATAAACAATTTTCTATGGTAGCTTGAAAGGCTTTTGAGGCCATTAAATATAAAATTCAAGTTAGATGTACTGCAGTTCTGTATCCCATGTTCTGTAGTTCTTCCTGTTTCCCTTTTGGTTTGGACTTCAGTGACAATTAATTGTTTCAGTGACACCAAAATTGTGATTATTTTGGTTTTTGAGATAATAATTGGTATAAGAATGCCTCTGCGAAAAGATATTTAGTTCATGAGATACTTTTTTCTTTTTTTAACCGTATAACAAGTTCTTGTATGTCTAAAGATCATATTTTTTGCAGCTCCAACTGTGCAATTAATGTTCAGTTCACCGCTGACAAAATCTAAGGCAGAAAAATTCAGGGAGCACATTTTACAGGCTTTTGAGTCAGTTCTTCGGTCCCTTGTGACCATTGAAATTAGATGTGAATCAAGTAAAAATGTTAGGGGAGGACCAATTATGTTACCTGCATCTCAGGAAATTTCATCTCGCCTACTTGTTACTGATGGGATGCCTAGGACAGGTCACGGTGATATAAGAAGTCTTCAGCAGAGTAGGGATGGTTCGTCTCAAGCCCAGTTTGACACGACTGGAATGGGTCGAACTGAAATTGTTGAAGTAGAAGCTTCTCCAAGAGAACCTAAAGGGAGTGAAACCAAAAATGAAAAGGCACACCAGAGAAATATGAGGAGTTCTTTTGCAGATCGTAAAAAGTTAGGTGAGAGAAACCAGAGTCTAAGCCTAGTTAGAGGCAAGGTATCCCTTGCTCATGTAATTCAGCAGGCAGAAAGATGTTCACAACAAAGTGGATGGTCAAAGCGCAAAGCTGTTTCAATTGCTGAAAAGCTTGAACAAGAAAATCTGTACGTAGTTCTTTTGTGATCCTCAAATCTTATGACACTTCTGCTGGGTGTGTACACACGTCGAAAAAAAAGATAAAAACACCCTATACAAGCATTTTTACTATGATATTTTACTGATATGAATCTGATATGTATTCTTTTGCAGGAGACTGGAACCAAGATCAAGAGGCTTGCTTTGTTGGAATGTTCCTAGAGTAACCCGTCGAAAGGTAAAAATAGTTTAAGACCTAATAGGTTTATTCAAATTGTCTTATATTTTATGTTCATGAATGTTATCCGAATTGAATTACATGCACGTTTGCATTATTTTTGTGGTTTACTTAGATGGAAGCAGTTGGGTACATTCCTGTTGAGCATTATACTGACTGCTCATGATTTTTATTTTCATTCCTGTCATTTTAGTTAATGAAAGATACAGCTGTCTAGGAATGACTAAAATCCTTAATCAACATCACTGATGTTATGGAACCTGTGATTAATTCCCCATGCATTATTTGGTTCCAAATCCAGTTTATATGCCCATATGGGCGGGCCAGTTGCTCGACCTATAATTTCTGAAGCAAGTTACACCACGAACTTTCATTTGGAACATATAAATCCTCAACCTTTTACTTCTGTAGCACCGGTTGTCCCAGTGACTTTTCCTTCCAAATTGCTGTTGTTGGTGGGCTGCCTCTATATTCTTGGCTGGCCCAAACTTAGTAATATTGGGCCTTGCCGGGTTGATTGATCCAACGGGTTGAAATTGGTTGGAAATGAAAAGCGTTTTTCTGGAAACACGTTTTTCTTAATAATGGGCGACTGTTGTGGACCTTACACTTGACACTTTTGTGATCGTTGGATCTTTGATATTTCGCTGGACTGTAAAAAGTCTCGTGACTTTTCACTTTTGTCCTAATCTGAGTGAACGGTTCTAGGGTTTTCTTCGTCTTCTTTCTGAGGGTTCTCTGAACTCTTCTGTTCGTGTATCTTTCTGAAAACAATCTTTAAATCTGAGTTATGTTAGGATTGTATTTGGTATACGATCTGTGAGATTGTAGAAAACTGAGTATTGTATAAATGAGAGGCGAAAGAAAACTGAAATTGAAGGAACTGTGGTTTTTTCATACATTTTTGTATCGATTCTTTGTGATTCTTAGTGGATTCGAGCCTAATCTACTTTAGTAGATGCTCAATTGGTGAGTAGGCCTTTTGGCTGAACATTTGGGCCCTTAGGGGCGAAAATTCTTGTGTTCTTTACGTTTTCTGTAATTTTTTATTGTTTGCAGCAATCGTTTTTAGAATGAAATAATAATCCTGAGACCAACAGCTGTTTCAAATGGCCTTTGACTCTCACGTCTTGCCCTTTAAATGGTAAAACCATTAGGCCAATCTTAAGAAGTGAAACTGAAAATGATTCACCAGCGACTCATTTTAGGATCTTATAATTTGTTTATGTCGATTGAACTCATGTATATCTGTGTATGCAGCTTTCGCGTTTGAAAATCAGAACGAGGAAGCCAAAAACTTTGCTGAAATTTGTCTCATGCGGGAGGTGTCTCCCCAGCAGGTCTCCAAGGTAAAAAAAAGAAACCATACTACATGTATCGAAAGGTTTCATTGCAGATTTCAGTTCTATTACTTTAGGTTTACTTATGTTTAGGTCTTTCATTAATCATGCCCTATTCAATGAGAATTAAAGTAGAAGTAGATCAAATGTAACTTTATAGGTTTTGTCGATGAAAATTCAAGTTTCCTTTTATGAGTTCTTTCACCTTCGAGGTTTGAAATTAAGCCGACTATTGAGTAAGCGCTCTTAAATTGCTGAAGACGTGACTTGTTTGGCAAGATGGACATATGGAAGCAAAAAAAGAATAAAGAACTTGCTTATTCTACAATCCAGTGCTATGTTGAATGTTCTGGGATAAGCACGTTCGACCTGGCATGAGTTGCTAAATATTGTATAAAGCCGGAAAATCATTCCGAGTAAAGATATAAGGATTTTGCTGCTCGGTGCCTCGCAATATATGAAGATATGATTATTGTTTTAATTTTCTGAGTGCAAATGCATTACAATAGGATAAACCCATTTTCAAGTTTCCTATTATGAAGTCAAATATTCCAGCAATTTCCGTATAATACACTTCAAGAGTGCTGTTTTTATTAGAAACAGAATGTGAACACCAAGAACATGAATTTTCTAATTAGTCGGAATATTTAATAGTTGAAAACTTTGATTTTGTTAGTTTTTCCTTGTCCGAAGGAAACTGAACTTCATTTTCCCATTTGGGCGGTCTGAAACCCAGAAAACTGTAGATTCGGCAAATTTTCTCTGCCAGAAAAGCAATTTCTTTTCATGCAGTCAAATGTTTTTAATGAAGAATTTTATTTATTTATTTATTTTAATTTTCATTGGTGGGAATTTTGGACCTAATTGAAATATTCTTGCGAAATATTTTTCTAGCTGAATTATTCTGACTAAATTTATTGTTGATCGAAGTGATATCAAGCAACAAGCAAACGTAACGAGCTCCGTCACTATTAAAAAAAAAAAAAGGATTTAAATGATAAGTAACATTTCAAGAGAAAAAAAAGGGATTTAAACAATCAATAATCCTGGGTGTCCAGAAATGGTATTACAGAATTTTGAAAAAGCTGACGTGGAAAGAAAAAAGGGTAGAACAATAAGTCGGCAGCGGCAAAATTATCTACAAGCCACGTAAGCGATAAGCTCAAGGCTTAACCGGTGGTTAACGGCTAAAAATACCGCTGGCGGCGGGGCTAACCACCCCTTGATTTTATTGGCCACCGTTTTAAGGGATTTTGACTTTTTAACCTTCAAGAACGTCAGCCATTGACCCTTAATTTCGGTTGACTAACCCCGAGGAGTGACAACTACGGTTTCATTCTAACAGGAGCTAAGCCACTCGATTCGCACCGATGACCACGGGAATGACCATGTCCTCACATGAGACGAGCGGGTCTCACGTGAATTAAAAAATAATTAAGATATTTGTACAAGCTTTGGTTGACAAAAACTTCTACTCACTCTCACATGCATATGATCCCCACATGGATTAAATAATTTCGACATGTAGACCCCACCTTTTCATTGTGAGTATAAGTAAAAGAGTTTATACAAAAGTGTTAGTACATATAGCATCTTCTATTAAAAAATTACCACCTACATGTGTGTGTGCGCGATCACTCTCGCGATTCGTGTAGCATAACAGTACTCGACGTGACGTGGGTCCCACATTGGGGGTGGCTTAAAAAATGCTGGCATGAATTGCAGTTGCAGACAAATTACTTACTCCATTATTTCAAATTATAATGAAAGAAATAGTAAATGGTTCAAGAAAGTGTGGTAAAAAATGAAGGAAAAGTTTTTAGGTTTACATGTAATATTATTTTATTGAAGAATTCGTGGTTGATAAGAAGAGAGAAAAATAATTTTTAATTTAATGGGGCCAAACAGGTTGAATGAGTAACTTTTTTTTGCTTAAAAATAATGAGTATCCAAACATGTTTAAAAATATTCCAAGATATAAAATCATGCTATGAGCATATTTGGCGTATCTTAAATTTGTACTTTTTATAAATAAATTATTTACTTAATAATTTCAATACTTTAGGACGAATCTTGCAAAGGTACCCTTAACCTTTTAGAGTATTAGATTCTCACCAATGTTTGTATTAATCAAATGATTTGTGTTTCTGCTTCGTCCACCATTTCTCTAGCATAGACTTGCTTCGTACTCTTCGATTCCTGAAACATGGTTTTGGATTCTTTGTGGATATCAGTGTACAAACAACTTTTATTTTCTGACCTATTGGGACACATTCCGCAATTAACGATGTTTAAAAACGAGACAGTGAGGGACCCTTAAGGTTGGGGTTCAACTTTTTTTAAAATTGCTTCATGCTCATCATTTTCTTTATGATTAGATTAAATAATTTATTATGTTCATAAATGCAAGAAAACGCGTGTAACAATATTTTGCATAGAATTGTTTGAACCCTAACGAACTAGCATGGGCCAGTCGGAGGTGTTGGGTTCATACAAATTGTTGAAGTCAACATTACCTTATTGCAAGGAAAAGTTAAACCCCGACGCAACTAACTGATGTTAAATTTGGACAAGTCGACATATTTTGAGGTAACATCGAGATTTGAGCAAATAAGTCAAAACTTTTTTTAGAGTCGAGACAGAATCCTATGCCATAAGATTCTTTGACTTGGGATACCATACCCTCTTTAATCTAATGCACTGTAATTTGTACTATATATTGGATTTTAAAGCCCTTTGGTCAAACCGAAAAAATAATCATTTCCATTTATATCCCAAGTGGATAACGCCTAGTGGTAACGCTGATTACCAAGTTAAACACGCAACGGAAAATCGAGTACAACCTTCAATTGATTGGAAATCTATTAACGTTTTAACCCACAATAAAACATTTTCTTTCTCTTCCAAAACCCATCGTGTACTTTGGCTGACTCAAGGTTTTTGTTGCCAAAATAGGCAGATTTATCCATTGTCGAATGTGGTCGAAACTAATTAGTTTTAACTTGAACTAGCAAAATATTGAATTATGGAGTAGCTGTAAATTGTCTAATTTATTAAGAATAAGGCTTCACTTCTTACTTTACTAATACGTCTTTTACTAGTGGTTGAAGTAGTGATAAATTGAAAATCATATCGTGTAGTCTATTTCAGTCCTCGAAAACAGACCAGGATGTCATCATATTAAGAGTACAATTTGTTATATTGGTGCAAAATGTAACGTTAAAAATAAGTAAGAGAATCTTCAGCTATCTTGATAGTTGATTCCTAATAACAACTACACTAATTGGGTTATAGTCTAGATCTACCTCAGATTCCGTCTTTTTATAATGGCATATGTTACTCTAAGAGTATCTACTTGAGATACGCTTGGATCGATTTGGCCTTTTTTTTGAACACTCGTTTCACCAATTGATAGAAAAGCATTTCGAAGAATGTTTTCAAGACCGTTAAATTTGAGAGAGAAGCATCTTGAGCAAAACCTCATTACTTATTTTTATGTAGAGCCAAACATATCATTAGAATAGGGATGATTTATAACATAATGGGTAATTAGCAAAAAAAACTCCTATCGTTTGTACTCATTGCAAAAATGATCCCCATTGTTTCAAACTTGTCGTTTACAATCTTATTTCAAACATTTCTTGCAGAATTGGTCTTTTTTGTCATATTTTGTTAAATCTTTTAGTTTGATGCAAAACGTCGCTATCTTTTGCTTTAATTGCACAAATATTCTCTTTCATTTTAATTTAGATATTTAGTTACTCAGATTGATATTTCTTTGCTTAAAAAGTCATCACCATCCATTTTCTCCATTATATCATCATGTTTAAATAAACAAATAGAAAAAATGAAATTATAAAAAAACGTATGTAGAGTTTCTAGATTTTTTTTTTAAATTACAAATGAATCTCACGCAAAACAATTTAAAACATTCTAATAAAAAAGGTATTTTATTTTTCCATTTAACCCACCCACGCCTGTCTATTATCCTCCTCCACCCCCATCAAAATAATTTTTAAAAAAAAATTGTTTGAAGAGGAATAAGCACCATTTTGTTTTTATAATTTTTTTTTTGTTTTCTATTTTTAATTATTTTTTTATTATACTTTTAATGCTTTCTCTAATTAATTTTGTCTTTGTGATGGAGTGTAGGTAGG